CCCAAAAACTTCCTTGGCGGGGCTGGGGATTTAGCTCAGTGGCATAAGCACCTGCCTTGTAAGCAGGCAGTCGTGATCCCTGGTACCGATAAAAAGGAAAAAGGAAAAAGGAAAAAGACAAAAAAAAAAAAAAAATTTCTTGGCTAGGTGTGGTGGCACACACCTGTAATCCCAGCACTCAGGAGGCAGAGGCAGGTGGATTGTTGAGAGTTCGAGGCCATCCTTGGCTACAGGCGAGTTCAAGGTCAGCCTGAACTGTGTAGTGAAACTCTTCTCAGAGACCAAAAAAAAAATTTCTTTTTGCCACTGGCTAACGTCTACTTCAAAAGTATAGTTTCTTTTGCCTATACAAAATAAGCCCCTGGAAGTCCTATATTCCAAATTATCTTTCTCTACTTCATGGAAAACTCCAAAATAAAACAACTCTCCAGTAAACCTTGATAATCAATAATACCAGACAGAAGTAGTTTTGCCTGTAACCAAAGTATTTCAGAGTTACTGAGCAAACAAAAGTATTTACTTTACTTATTTTTATGTTTTATCACTAAATGAAAAAAAACGACAGTAAAGAGGCAGAGACTAAACTGATAACAACCCAAGGTCATAAGCAAATGCTGGAAACAAATACATGTAACAGGGACTAATTTTCTGGCTTGTATTATGGGAAAAGGCATCTCTTATTTGTTTCATTCATTCAACAAGTATTTTAATGAGCACCCATAATGTGCCAAGAACTGCTCAGCATTTACACAGGCTTCTTAAAAACAGTATAGAACATAGTACCTGCCCTCTAAGAGCCCACAGTCTGGTACCTGCTAGGCAACCAGCAAATGAAAAACACAAAATAAAACAAATCAATAGCTAAGTGCCAAAATAAACACAACAGGAGAGTATGAATAGATACCATAGGATTTTTTAGTTGGAAAGGGAGGTATATATTGGCCAAAGTTATTTCTAAGAATCTTCAGAGATTAAACTTGAAATAAAATTTACGTAAGCAAAGAAAACTTCACGGTGAATTTGAGGCAGGAGGCAAGAAAAACAATGTCAGTTCAGCCATGAACTAACCCAATCAAATCGCTTAAAATATGGAAAGACTAGTTTTGATTGAAATTAGAAGTGTGAAAACATCCATGTTTGAAATGTGTTTTGACGTTTACTTTGAAAGCTACCCTACAGAACTGAGATCCCAGGCCACACGTATAGAAAAGCATCAGAGATTCTTGAGAAAGGAACGCACAATGATGTCAAGTTTTAGACATGGTGATAGTATTAAAATAAGAAATTTGTTCAAAAATTGAGAACCCCAGCCATTGAGAGTATGACAATCTGGGCTCATATGGTGAGAGAAATATAAATAAAACAAGATCTGTTAGAGCCTGCCTTATTCAATGTTAAGAAAATCAAACTTATTGTAAATCACAAATGTTCACTTATTAATTTATTGAACAATGAACCAAGGGAGAGAGAGCACTGAACAAACACAACTAGTGAAGCATTACAAAAAGAATTTTTGTTCTTTTTGCTAAGGAGAATGAACCCACAGGCCTTTGCACTGAGCCTTATCTCACAACATTTTTAAATTTGTCAAATAGGGTACCATGCCCAGCCAGAATTTCCTGTTCTTTTATTTCTAAAGCAACCCCTAAGATCTCGTAACATCTACTCTCAAATTATCTGGATTGAATCATAGGCCATTGGGTCTGAAAGGGATCTTACAGAATGAACCTATAGCATGTGTGCCATTGCAGGCTGTTTGTATCACTGAAAGCTCCAAGAGGTTCCCCCTCACTGTTAATAGATCTCACAGAGCAGAAAAATTAAAACAAAACAAACAAAACAAAGCAAAGCAAAACAAAATAAAAATGAGAGTGTGACTTTGTTAGGAAAAGGAAAATTCATCTGTGGCTAATAGATGGCAGGATATATATGTTTTTTTGTGCAGAAAAAAAAACAAAAAGAAAAGAATAGAAAGTATTACCAAGATATAGAAGAAGAGAGTCTCATATAATTATAGTTCAACAGAAATTACTACTGGAAATTTTTGATTTTTGCACACAGGTAGAAAAAATATTCTTGACATTTATACAACTTAAAAGTTTTAATTCTATAAAGGTATGATTTTCTTATAGAGTTACACAAGTAAATTTGATCTACAGCGTAAGATGAACATAAAAGAAATATTAAGCTCCATTTGAAAATTAACAACCTATTCTGACTAAATTATTAAAATGGCATTCTACGTTATTTCATTAATTTAAAGAAACAAAAATATTATACATCTAAGTTAACTTGTTGCATTTTAAAATTGTGAACTTTAGCTTCTCCAGATTACTGTGTCCATTGTGCATATTGTTTTACAAACAAATTTTAAAATTTTGTGTTATATTCAGTAACATTTCTAAGGCCACAATCATTTAGCAATTAAGACTGCCTTCAATTTTAGTTATTTGTCCCAGAAGAGATCTTACAAAATGTAGTCAATACAGGCAACCAACAGGGACTGGGTTCTTGGACACACACGGTTATCAAAATAGAGATGCTCAAATTCTGTACATGTAAACGGCATAGTATCTACATATAATCTATGCACATCCTTTCGTATACTCTATCATCTCTAGATTACTTATACGTAATAATACCACATGCATGCTAATATACATACATAGTTGTTATGAAGTCACGTTTATGGAACAAGAAAAAGGTCTGTACTTGTTCAGTACAGATGTGATTTATTTTTCTAACACTGTCAACTAATAGTTGAATCAGCGAATGTAAAACCTGGAAGTCATGGAACACCCAACTGTATATGAAGGTTCCATAATTTTCAGCCTCAAAGTCTAAAGAATTTGTGAGTTCACTTTTAAAATTGTATGGTAGAACCATGTGCTGTGAATGAAACAGGCATCCTGTTGCTTCTCAATTACTTTGTGATCCCTTACAGCTCATCAATACTTCTTAAGCGTATAGACAGAAGAAATGACGCAAAAAATAATTTTTGCTACTTATTAACTTTTACTTTTAAGGGGATGTTTACAGAACTTTAAATAAGATTCCTCTTTTATTTGAGGATGCAAATTATCCATGCTCTCCTAGTCTCTTATAATGCTAAAATAATAACTTTAGCAAGATTTGGGATTCACATTTGTTAGCTATTTAAGGGGCAAAGAATAATAATCCAATTTTGAGAAAAATGATGTGTCCTTCTCTTGTGATCCTCAGAGCTAGACTCCTAAAACACTTATTCACTATCCTAACAGGAGCCAACAGAGGGAGAAACAATTCTAGGAATTTGCATAATTAGGTACATTTAAAGGCACACAGCATATACTGGCCTAGTTAAAAAAAAAGTAGAAGAAAACCATAGAGGTAATTTCAAAGTATCTGAATGGATATATACCAAGCAAACTTATGAGGAAGATGGCCACTGAGATAGCTAAAGAGAAAGGGCCGTAAAACAAACTGCAACCAGCTTATGTCAATGAGATACATAAAAGTACTTTTAAAAAACAAAATCTGCATTTTACTAGCAATGACTAGCTGGTATCTTGGCTTTGGTAGTGCACTAGCACCATTACAGCAAGGGTAAGCAGGTCAATCCCTTGCAAAACTTACCTTGATTGGCCCAATGGAAACAGAAGGCCCCAGAAAAGAGAGAAGCATCTGGCAGTAGCAAATTGTTTTATTTTATCTTTCTGTGGAAAGAAACTAATTTTAAATAAGAACCAGAGCATTTAAAGAATAAATATTTTTAAAGCTCATTATCTAGTTAGAGCAGCTCTACCAAGAAAATAAGAAGAGCTCCTTGCTGCTTAGAGATGGAAGGAAACAGAAGAATCAGAGTTGTCTCTGCGTCTCCTATGGAGTTTTAAAATTTGTGTTATTCTACAGTAACAGAATAAAAACCTTTTTTATATAAAGAACTCCTGTAGACAGAATATTTTGGGTCTGGTGCCTTTGAATAAAGATTTTTGTACAAAATTAAGGGTTATATTCCAAATACAAAAGAAAAAAAACAGCTGACGTTGAGCCCTTCTACTGTTAACGTTTTTAAAAAAAGACAGCAAGCTCCTTTTTCCACTATAATTTCACTAACTGTAACCATTGAGGCTCAAACAAATGTCAAAGTAAACAGTACTTATTAGGAAAATAGCATATGTAATTGGCTTTCCAAATTAGTTTGCTAGCCTAAATTTCTTGTGATTTAGCAAGATATTCATATGGAAATAATCCAGTCACCTAAGGGACTTGCGTATTATAGAACCTAGCATACTGTAAAAACAGTTATGTATGGTACATGATCCTGTTGACCTTATGCATGTTTCTCTAGAAACTCAGTTTTACCGGTCACTGAGTCAGCATTAAAACCTTTTGATCCAAAACACTCTCACAAAGTGTCCATTTACATTTTATGCTAGAGATGAAAGGGGAAGCTAATAAACAGGAGTGCAGAAGCAGTATGCACTAAAAAACAAAACAAGTGTAAGTGGAAAATGGACTACCTATTTGCACTGTCCTGTGAAGAATGATTTACAAAACAAAATCTTCCCATCCCACACACAAAGCAGAAAGTCTTTCAAGAACAAAATTCATTCTAAGCCAAATTTCTAAACAATTACTATTTTCTGATTCCATGCATTTTACATGATAGACAAAAATAAGTTATGTTGTCCCTGCTATGTATTTACTTACAAGATTAACTCCATTTGACATGCTAGAAAAAATCATTGTTATAAAGCTTAGATGTCCACTTTTAAAATTGAAAAAAAAAATCTTAATTTTGTTGAAGTAGTAAATTTGTTTCACAGAACTTTTCTATTAATATTAAAAATTTGGTTATAGTCAAGATTCAACATTTATCTTATTTGAAACACTATCTGGGCATAAACTAATGCTTAAACAGCTACAAGTACAATATCCAACCTACATTTTGAGATCTTAACAAAGTAACAACAGAGGCAAAAATAAATAAAAAACAAACAAAAATGTAACATTCTTACTTGTCCCATTGGTGGTCCTCCCATAGGGGGCATCATTTGTGGCATCATTCCATGAGGTACAGGAGGCATATTTGCTCTCTGACCCATTGGGTGCATTCCCATTGGTGTATAATGCATGCCAGGGTGCCCCATCTGAAAAACAGTAAAAATTGAAAGTTAACAAGCTACATTAAACGCTCCTCAAAAAAAAAAGAATCTCACTTGAACTACTCACTTACCCACAGAAGCACAGTATCAGACTAAGGGGTGATTTATTATTAATTTGTACTTTTCTGTTTTCAACAAGATGCACTATGCCAGTATTTTTAAGGATCCGCAAATTCCACAATAAAATGGAGAAGATTAAATTCACAGATGGAACAGGTGAATCATAGCTGTCTCTTGGGGGAGGGGATACTGATTAATCAACTACTGTCTTACTAAGCTTAGAGAATACGTATTGAATGCTAATGTAAACGGTGAAAACCAAAACTTTGTTCTATTTCACACAAATGCAAGTGAGTCAGCTGGTCTGTTACAACGTTATTGGGTTACTGACTTTAAATTTCTAAATTGACCAAATTCATTTAGAGGACTGGCCTTATAATGCACAAGAGCATGGATACCCAGCTATACTTCATTCCTAACAGCATACCAGTTCCTGGTAACAGTGTTAAGAGAGGTAAAACTCCTTTTGCCAAAGCAAAAGACTGAGGTTCTGTCATTTAGACTCTAAATGCGAACAACTAATTCATGCATTTTAATGCACTTTTAAAAGGCAACTGCTTTTTTTTACATGCGTTCATTGTTCTAGATTTTAAACTAGGTAATTATCTCTTGTCAATTCTCCCAACAGTCCTCCCTGTAGACTACCACCACTACTAGAGAAAACAAATCCTGGTGGTCTCTTTTAAAGTGTTACTGGATCAAGATTTCATACTAAAACGGGCCTACGGCTCCAACACTCACAGCCCGCCCAGGGCTCTGCACCTTCAAATGCGTATCAGTCTAGGCCAAGCCGATGGGAACTTCAGGGTCCCACATCCTTCTCTTTGTGCCTCCTAACCCTCCATTTCTCTTCCTCGAGACATATCCCACCGTCTCGTGCTCTTCCTTGGTCCACTCTTATCTTCTGCTCCTTTTGGAGGAAGCTTCCTGTCTCAGACTCCGTTTTTCATTGTGCCGCTTTCTCCGGCCCCACCGATCCCTTACCGAGGGCCGTCTCCTCAGGAAGCCGTCAGCAGAGACCCATGAGCTGGAGCAGAGGGTTGAGCCGGACAATCTCCGCTCCCCGTCCCCGGGACCCCGCGAGGGAGGTTGGTTCTCCATTTCACTCACCATGAGGCCTCCACGCTCTGCTCCCGTCCCCGGCCTCATCGTTGGGCTCAGACTGCTCCGCCGGCGGCCACTGCCGCTACACATACCAACAAGAAGCGATCTGAGTGGCTGGCGTCCGCTGAGGCTAAAGGTTAAAGGCTGCCCTGAGCTACGGGGCGGGCATCTAAGGGGGCTAACAAGCTGATAGGCTTCCACACTGTCCAATCAGCGTGCGCTATCGACACGCAGCTCTGCGGTGATTCGCCCCGACCTCAGCCTCCCTCGGTGTCGCCTGCATGGGGGAGGGGGACGGAGGAAGTTTCCAAGTCCTCCACTGAGAAAACTCCACCAACTTCCCCTAGAGAAGGCAAGACAACCATGTCCCAGCTTCCCGGGTTTAGACCCTTTCACCCTGTAGTAGTGGTGGGAAACTTCCACCTTCATTCCCCCCGCCCCGCCAGAGTTACATACGCCCCACAAACCTTGAGGCCGTCAAGGGTAGGGTGGGGTAGGGTTGGGTAGGGTGGGACGGGGCGGGGTCAGCATCGTGCCGCGCTGTAGGTGGCTGTGACCGAGGTGCGCGCGCCGCGCTTGCGGTGTAGGGGTGAGGTCTCCAGGAAAGGGATCGAGTCCTCAAGTCCTGTGTCCGGCGCTCACCGCGTAGGGAGGAGATTGGGGGAGAAAGAGACAGGGGTATGGGGGAAAAAGGAAGAAGGTGGTGTGTCGGGCAGCACAGAGGGAATTTTTTTTCTTTGTACGGGAGTTTGAACTCATGACCTCATGCTTGCTAGATCCCTGGCCTAAAGAGGGAAGTTGTGATAGGTGCGGGGGTAAGAACCTAAAAGAGAAACAAAGGGGCAGCTAAGGCACAGCGAGAGCGCTGAGCTGTCAATAATGAAGGGAGCTAATAAGGCAATGCCTATCAGTGGGCAAAGGCGGGCGCTAGGATCCGGCGTCTAGAAGAGTGCTTTAGGGCTGGCAGAACGCGCGTTTGCCTAGAGGCGTTGAGACGGTAGCAGAGGTGTTGGGCCTAGATGCGCTGCAGGGAGGGGAAACGAAAGTACGCGGCAGTGTCTTTTTCCGGGCGTTCTCGCACCCCCACTTGTGTGGGTCCAATGGTAAAGGCCGTGACGACACTGATCTCTGATTGGCTAGTGCTTGGCGGGGCGGGGCTATGGGAGACACGCCCCTTTCAGGTCCGTTGGTCTTTCCCGCCATGTCGTTCCTCGGGAGCACGGGCCATCAGGGTCCGCGGAGTCGCCGACAGGGTATCCGCGCCTCTGTCTCTCGGCCGTTGAATTCCATCTTCACTCAGGGAGAGAGTTGGGGTGAAGGTGAAGTCGACGAGGAGGGAGGCAGTGATCAGGTGGCCCGCGACTTGCGGGCAGAGTTCTCGGCCGGTGCGTTGTCCGAGCCCAGAAGGGGTGGGCCGTTCCCACCTGGAGGACTTGGCTCGCCTGTCCTGCTGGACAAACGTAACGGCATCTTCCCTGCGGCTGCGGGCAGCCGGACTCAGGCTCGGCGGTGGCCTATCCAGATTCTTTCTATTCTCTGTTCCCTGCTGTTCGCCGTCTTCCTTGCTTTCCTGCTGGCCATCGCGTACCTGGTCGTTAAAGGTACTGAGCACAAGCTTTGAAAGTATCTGAGGTAGACTTGAGCCTGGAGGCGGCTTGTGACCTCCATCCACATCTTTTCCTGCTGTGCATGGGCAGCCGCTTTCCAGTCAGCCCCGATGTATACCTTTGTTTGCTCTTCCCTTTTTGTTTTGTGTTCATAGATGGAGGTCGCTGGTGCCTGGTGAGGAGATCCTTTTTAAGAACTTGTGTTGATTAAATGGATACTAAAGTCAGTAAAATATTTAGTTTGATTATTTAAGCAAAACGTAGAATACCTGCCATTAGAGGGATCTGTAAGTGCCTGCATTTGAAATAGATTATACATAGTGTGTGTGTGTGTGTGTGTGTGTGTGTGTGTATGTGTATGCAAAGATAAATAGCCTTTGCTCTACAAGTGGTTAAAAAGTGTGCTGTCCCCTAATTCATTGGTATACTAAGAATTCTTGAAGAACGGGGATTGCCCGTACCCCAGTCCAGATTACTTTTAAGGATAGCTTCTTTATTTGCAGCTAGATATACCATGTAGTTTTATTGCAGAAAATACAGTTTCCTCCCTCTACTAATTTCATCTTCCTGTCTCTGAAGTTGAAATATTGGCCAAGTTGGAAGTAAAATAGGTGTGTTATGCAGGTTTTTCAAAGGCTTGCATGGACTGGGTATTTATTACAGTGGAAACATTCAGTTCTCACTTTGGCTCATCTTGGCCAAATTATTGAAAAAGAAGCTGCAAGCGAGGGGAAAAACTTAATGTTTGACTGCTTTTACCAATTCTCTATTACTCCTGACCCCCTTTTTACCCCTTCTGTAACTTGATAGTTTTGTAGAGAACTTGCTATTCTTTGCCAAGAGATCACTTTTGTACTATAAAGTCAGCAAAATGGAAGTTCATTGCAAAAAACATCGATAATATTTTGGAGAGTAGAGAAAGGAACTGAACTCAGTCTAGTATAATATGTTCTTAAATTTGTGTCACGTAAAATGTGTTCAAAATAAAGAACTTACTGGCTTGTGGAAGGTCATGTAGCTAATAAATCAAATTAGAATTTGACCCAGTTCAGCACCAGAGCACTTTATAGTTTCATAATGTCTTCAAGTCTTGGGCTTACTCTTGAAATTATAAAATGATCTTACTTTTCTGCCTAAACCTTTCTTTGTGTTTACAGAGTTGCATGCTGAGAATCTGAAAACTGAAGATGTAGATACTGGGCTGTTAGGTATGAACTTGTCACTTGATTTAACTTTGGTCTAATCTTTGTTTTTTCCAAATTATATTTAAACTATGCAGACTTTGGAATAAAATAATGTATTCCTATCTGCAGTTGATTTAGTCCTGTTTCTCATTTACATGTATATGGTTAGATTTGTTATATACACATCTGTAGTGTGTAAATGTACGTATTATGCATTTGCTATAACTTCATTTTTAACATAACTGTATAACATTTTTAACATAACTGTATATGATTCAGGTTCTGCACATATGTAGGATTTTCTAGTTAACTGCTGATAGAGGCTGTCCAGAATTATTTGAAGGAATTGAAAAACAAAAACTTTACAAACTTAGCCCATGTTAGTAGTGTATGCAAGCCTCACAAGAAATTTAAGTTCATATAATTTTATAAGCAACTTTTTAAAAAAAATTAGGAAGTCATTGATCATACTTTTGAAGATTTATGACTAAGAGTCAAATTTGAGTTTCTGCAGCATCTGCAAAATGCTATAGTTTCCAAGTTTACAGTGAAAAAGAACTTCTTATTGCTGTATTTTCTTATTCTGTCAAAATGATCTTGGAGGATTTCGAATTCTCCGCATGTATTTTACTCCTGTTAGATGTAATCATTTGATTTATTAGCCACTTATTTGATTACTCTGGATAGGCATGTCATCCCCCACTCCCGAATCTTCACTAAACTCGTCTATCTCTCTAAAGCTAATGCCATCACAGTGACCCTATCTAGTCTACCTCCTTTTACAGAAGGGGAAAGGGCCATCTTCAAATAATGAGGTTAGTTTGCTAAATACTCTGTGGAAATTTTTCTGTGTTATGTTCTCAACTTGCATGTGAAAACACATACTTTTTACTCATTTTATCAATTTTGTTATACTGTTTCATTTCTAGAAAACAGCCAGGACTTTTCATATCATTCATTTATCTACCCACTCAGTACAATGGAAAGAAAACCTTAAGAACTAGGCATGAATTCTAGCCTGTTGCTATTTAAAAGTAAACTTGGTTTCTTTCATATTTATAAATTAAATGGGTGGCAGTTCTTTTTTTTTAGACTTTTTTTTTTGTAGTGCTGGGATTGAACCCAGCTCTTGCCCTCTAGGCAAGAACTCTTATCATTGAGCTGCTTTCCCAACTTTTTTGTTTAGTTTTGAGAAGAATATCACTAAATCGCTCAGAATGGCCTCAAGCTAGGGGTCCTGTTTTGCTTCCAGAGTATAGTAGCTGGGATTGTAAGCTTGTATAATGGTTTGCTTAATATAAAAAAATATAATGGAACTTTTACCCCTTCCCTACCTCCTCTTTCCAATCCAGTTAAATAATTTACATTGCTTTTAGGTATGCGTTGATAGATATTTAATGCTGTGAGAGCAATGGGAAGATCAATTTCTAAGTCTGATTCTGGCATGAATTTATTATCAGTATTCAAGAATGAGCAAAACTACCATGTTTTTATACCACAAAAACTATGAATAACAGCTATGCCAAGATATGCTTATAGGAAATGGTGATCATGCAGAGAATAAATACAACCAACATCACTTAATAGGTTAATTCAGTCATAATCCTGGGGATTAATTTTGAAGGAAGCATTGTTATATACAGAGTACATGTATCTGTTATATCATGTGGATATCAAATAGTCTTCTCTACCATCATAATATTCTTAAAAACCTGTTTCAGAGTTACAGTACTAAGATGATTAAACTCTGGTAAGGTTGAAGTCATTGTGCTAACACTTGCTCTTATATTGTTCTAAGCTGAAATTCTGGCCTGTCTGGGAGAAAAATACAGGTTAGCATCTTTACAGAATTTTTATTTTTAGTCTCTGATTACAATTCTTAAGACTGGGTAGTTGAAAACATAGGCCAGTTCTCTCTTTGATATCTTGAGTTGGTTTCTTCTTGTTTTACCCCTGAAGAAATGCTTGTGAAATTATATCCTACTCTTTGCATAATTGATAGTAAAGTTTTCACATGAAGAAACAGCCCAAGTCTTAAATAAAAAAATCTATTGTTGAAATTACTTATTGGGTTAAATAAAAAAGTAATATATACTCTTATCATATGGCAGTACTTTCATTGTATTATATTTATTTTGCTTGTTTGCTAGAAACCTGAGAGCTAGATAAATATTTTCTATGTATTTAAAAGTTCTCTACCATAATGATCTTTTTACACTGATAAAAATTTTTGTATGTTGCAAATTTTTGCTCTGCAATTTAATCTGAGTCCAAAAGTACCTCTAGATTTTAAATTCTGTTCAGTGTGAGACTTAAGAACAAATGATGGTAGTATAGTAGTTGAAGAGGCAGTTTGAGATACACGTTAAGACTTTGAATTAATTTTTAAAAAATGTATTCAGGAGTGATGAAATCCTTCAAGGATGACTATTAACAGATCGTTATAACTTATGTTTAGACGCCCCCCGCCCAAGGCCTCATGCAGTCATGAGTGGGACTTTTTCAGAGGTGATTGAATCTAGAGTGGGTCACCCTAGGATTAAGGGTGCATGATTACTAAATTAGTGCACTGATTGTTTGGTGTAGTTATGGGTAGGTTTAAGGGTACCCACTGTGGGTATGAGTGCTGTATTCTCCAAGGACAGGTAATCTGGATACTACATAAAGGGATAGAAAATATCTGTCCCTTGTTGCTTGCTGCTAGCTGTTAACTGCTGGCTGCTTGGATAGTGTTACTGTTTTCTGTCTGACACAAACTGTTTAGCCTGTGTGATGCCCCTCTGCCTCACTACCTTGTTTTGGAGCCAGCTGCCTATGAATTAAAACCTCTTCAAACTGTGAGCTGAATAAACCTTTCCTCATTTATCTGTGCTTTTCAGATATTTTGTCTCAATAGTGAGAAAAGTAACTTAAATCACAGATTAAAAAAAAAAAACAAAAACAATGTAAGCCCAAAAGGTCTGTTAATAAACCTGACTTCAAAGAAATTGATACAAAGCTCTGGTAGTGTTTTATCTGAAAGAATTTTTCCTAGGGAGCTCTCGATAGTTTTCTTAAAACATAATAATAATAAGGTTCATGATGATGTGGCATCAAAGCATTTGGAATTTAATTGATTTTTGTGGACTAAAGGATGAGGGTACAATTGTGTGTATCTTCACTGGTGATGTTACTTACCCAAGAGTATATGCTTGATACTATGAACTAGTTTTGGAGCTCATCTTCTGTAATCTTTCTTGGGTAACAATAAAGTCACGCTACAGAGTTTTCAGGATTTGGGCTTCTTTTTGTGTAATTGTCATGCCAGCAGTCCCTTAAGATTAGCATATTTTGTAAGAGTAATTTTTAAAACCTCTTAATTTGGTTAATACTACATTTCAGTTATTCCTCTTGAAGACTTATTCTTAGATCAGATTGTACTGATTATGTACAGTGCTAAATTGTTTTAATTTTTCCACATTGGTCTTTGTCTCATTTTTTTCATTTTACCATATTTCACAAAATTAGTACCATTTCCAACATTGGCAAGTACAACAAAATGACCTTCTATTTTAGTTGTTCTTTTAATGATTAAGCCATATATACAATTTTACACAAATTGTACCATGTCATTTGTAAATTTTTACAGAAAGTAGTTGTTACTCCTCAATTATGGATAATACTGTATCATTTTTCTTAATAGATTGTGGAATCAAATTAAAAGATGAATATGCTAGTTCAAAAGTCAATGTCAGGGCCGAGTGTGGTGGCACATACCTGTAATCCCCAACACTCAGGAGTATAATTCCTCAGTTACTAATATTGGGGCTGATTTGTGATGGCTCATGTCACACAATGAAAGACTCATGACATGAGGAGAGGGCTGATGACTGTTCTGTTTATTAAAGAAATAGTCTGTTTTCCATGCTTAAAGAGAACAAAAGCATTCTTAGGGAAGTTCAAAAGATAGTTTGAGAAAGGTACATGTTACACTTAAGCTGGTAGCATTGGGAACTGGGCTGATAGGCTTGAGTTGATGAAGTTGGGAATAGCACAGAAGATGTGTCTACATCCTGTAGCTACAAGGCTGTGGGCTCCAAGTCATGCCATACTCCATTTGCAGAGTCCTTAGCTGACTCTTTAGGACAGGCCACATCTACAACTTAGATGAAAAGTGCTTCATATACTTGTTTTCAGTGCCAACTCTCACAAGGAGGCTGAGGCAGGAGGCCAGCCTGGGCTACATAGATACCCTATCTCAAAAAAATAAAATAAAATAAAGATCAGGGCAGGGGGCTTGCCTGTAAACTTGTCACTCTGAGACTGAGGCAGGAGATCTGCAAGTTAGAGCCTAGCCTGGGCAACTTGGTGAATGATTTAGGGATATAGCTTAGTGTCTCCACAGAACAAATAAAAGTCAAATTCAGGGTTTTGATTATTCTTCACTGTAAGAAGCCAAGAATTTTTCTGAATCTTCCAAGAATGGGTCATCTCTAACATGTGCTTTCTCTTGGTAATTATTACCATGTTTCTAATGTTCTAGATAAGTAGTCATGATAGAGTCTCATTGCTTTGAAGAATAACTGATAAACTCTTCAGATGATTTAGCATTGTTTTTGGGATATATATTTTGTGCATACATGTGTGCGATGCTGGGGATCGAACCCAGGGCTTTATGCATGCAAGGCAAGAACTCTACCACTGAGCCACATCTCCAGCCCCTACCATCATCTTTAAACTCAATGTCAGTTCTTTCTCTGCAAATGTACAGCATCTTGGAAGCATCACAGTTATAGCCTAAATTAATAGTTCAAAAACAAGGAGAGCCCTTGATACTGAAAGATGCTACAGATCTGGTCCTTGCCAAAGAAAGGATGTTAAGAATGGCAGGCACCAAAGACATCCGGTTCAGAAGCTTATTTTTTTAGGTTCACTTTGAGAAAAGATTTGGCCATGTTGCCCATGCTGATTTCATACTTGGGAGCTCAAGGAATCCTGCTTTATCCTTCTGAGTAGCTGGAAGTATAGGCATATATTGCCCTGCC